TACACCAGACTCAAGATAGGGCATGCCAAGGACCTGCCTGTGAGATGGAGCCTGGCTGTGTGCAGCACGATTATGGGGTTCCTAAAGCCTCTACCCAGTGGGCCTTAAGAACCCCATGCTCATGAGCTGCACAGAAGCGCTTTCCGTGAAGGGAGAAGATGAAAAAAAGCTGGCGCTTATGGGCAGCCTCTGCGACTTTCTTAACCTGACTTCCAGCTCACTTCCTACAGGCTCCTCCTGCTCAGGCTCCTGGGCAGCTGGTTGCCCTGGAGACCCTTCTTTGGGTACAAAGGCCCCCATCTTTACTGCTCTTAGATCTTGGTGCTCAGGGGAGCCACTGATAAGAATCAGGTTGCCACTTGCTGAGGGCGCTGAGTGAGCAGAGAATGAATCTGTTTCACTTCCCACTCTATTCTCAGCACCCACCCAGTGCGTGGCAGCTGCTCAATAAACCTCAGAGGTTACCGAAGGGTTTCTCAACCTCGGCACTGTTGACAGTTTGGGCTGATAATTCCCTGTAGTAGAGAGCAGCGCGTTCGTGCTATGATGTTGAGTAGCATCCCTGGCCCTTAGGCCCTAGATAAGTGTAGCAACCTTCCCACTGTTATGACAAACAAAAATGTCTCCAGAAGTTGCTAAATGCCCCCTGGGTACAAAAACTACCTACAGTGGAGAACAACTGGACTTCGGTGAAGTTGTGGCACACTCACAATTCACTTCGGCTCCTTCAACAATGTATGTCCTGCTGTGGAGGGGGAAAGAGAGAAGCGTAAAGATCTGAATCCTGTAAACAATTTAATCCACCCTTGAGAGAGCAGATGGGGGTTTGCTGCTTTTCAATCTGTCTCTGGTCTTCCAGTGTTTAAAAATATGTATTTTATTTTTGTTCTACATGCAAACCAATGACTTTATCTGGTACCCAACAAAAGAAAGGTTGTTAAAGGTAATTTTGACTAAAATACATTTTTACAAACATAAGCACTGCCTCCAGAACCTGACTGCCAGGCACAAGGTGATTTAGTGGTGGCACATTTGTTACCAAATGCTGTCAGAACCATTATCCAAAGTAAAGCAACGCCCCCTACTGCCATTGAAAACAGCCAAGGTGAGTGACGTCATGGGAGACTCCCGAAGTATGTAGGACCCCCCAAACCTGAAGGTGCAACCTCCTTCTACACCCACTCCCATTAACACAACTGTTAATTTAGTTCCTGGAATTGTCTTTCCTGGAACTGAGTATGAAGTTTGCTCTAAGCCAAATATTGGTAGCCCCAAGGTAAGCTGGGGTTTGGCAAAGGCAGGTGTCTAAGGACCCAGATGGGCCATCCTGGCATATGTGCCAATGTTGTTGGAAAAGCCCAAAGCCAACCCCTTGGACTCTGGGCAACCAGGCAGGGCAAGGTGGGGAGGGGAGTGGCCATGGCTTCAGAGCAGAAGCAGGTGTGGGGACCAGACAGGACAAAAAATTCCTAGCCAGCATTTATTAGGTGCTTCCTGCCTGCTAGAGGCAGTGGTTCCTAGCCCTGGTTGCCAGTTAAAATCACTTGGGGAGCTTTAGAAAATCCTGATGCCCAGGCTGCATCCCAGAGCAGTCCTATCAGAACTGTAGGAGTGAACAGCTCAGGAGTTTTTTAAGCACCCCAAGTGATCGCAATACGCAGCCAAGGTGGAGGTCCACTCCTCTGGGAACTGTTCAAACTGCTTTCCCTGCATTAGCGCATTTCATCCTCAACACCCATTATTGTCAAGACTGTCCAGGGACCAGGATTGTAAGGAGTTTTGTCACTTTCCAGGGTCACAGAGTTTGTAGGGGCAGAGCTTGGAACCACCCCACGTAGCTGTGCTCTCAAGCACTCACACAGAGGAGTCAGCGGGGGAGGCAGCCCAGGCAGTGGAATGAGCAGGGCCTTGGGATTGAAATCTATTCTACCTTTCCATGGTCTGGGGAGGCCTTGGGCTGTCATTTCGTTTCTCCAAATGTCTTAGCCTTCTTGTCTGTGCGTTGGAGGAACGCTATCACCTCTGCATAGTACAGGGAGGATTCAGTGAGATGAAGTTTATGAAGTGCCTGACAACATTTCTGGGACATACCCAGCTTGATCATTTATTAGACTACATTGCCAAAAATGGGTCAGCAGGTAGAAAGGCAGATATTGAAAACGATCATCAAGATACATTGACATGCTGGACTGGGATCAGTGGCTTAAGCCTGTAAACCAGCACTTTGGGAGGCCGAGGTGGGTGGATCACCAGAGGTCAGGAGTTTGAGACCAGCCTGTCCAATGTAGTGAAATCCTGTCTACTAAAAATACAAAAATTAGCTGGGCGTGGTGGCACACACCTCTAATCCCAGCTACTCAGGAGGCTGAGGCAGGAGAATCGCTTAAACCCAGGAGGCGGAGGTTGCAGTGAGCCAAGGTTGCAGTGAGCTGAGATCACGTCACTACACTCCGGCCTGGGTGACAGAGCAAGACTCCATCTCAAAAAAAAAAAAAAAAAATCATCTCCAAGGTCTAAGATTTTGCTTTTGGAAAACAGGGTTTTTTTGGAATTGTTTTTTTCTTTTCTTTTTTTTTTTTGATACAGGGTCTCACTCTGTCACCCAGGCTGGAGTACAGAGGTGGCACAATCACAGCAGCTCACTGCAGCTTCCAACTCCTGGACTCAAGTGATCTTCCTGCCTCAGCCTCCTGAGTAGACAGGACTACAGGCCTGCACCACCACACCCAGTTAATTTTTTTTTTTAGAGATGGGGTCTCACGGTATTGCCCAGGGTGGTCTCAAACTCCTGGCCTCAAGCAAGCCTACCGCCTAGGCCTCCCAAAAAGCTGGGATTACTGGCATCAGCCACTGTACGTGGCCAGAAAACAATTTTTATTATTGAAAATGTCAAACATTTATAAGTAAAGAGGACCAGAGTAATGAATGCCATTGTATTTCTCATACAGCTCAAACAGCTCTTAGCTTATGGCCAATTTTGTTGCATCTACACGAGATCGCATTTATTCCCACTCCCTGGACTGTTTTGAAACAAATTCCAGAGGGCATATCATTTCATTCGTGAGTATTTCAACACGTATCTCTCAAAGATAAGGCAAAAGCATGCATGTTTAAAACTCTTGGGATAGACTGCCAAACTACCTGCTAAAAAATATGCAACAATTTCCATTCCCACCAACAGTATAAGAATGTGGCCATTCTCCTTGTCAACCCCATGTACAGTTAAGTGTCCATGTACAGTTAAGTTCAGTGTCCAGTTAAGAAGGGGTGAGCAAATGAGACAAAACTAAAACAGACAGTTCAACAGAGGTGATTAAAAATGGGAAACCAGGCTGGGCACGGTGGCTTATACCTGTAATCTCAGCACTTTGGGAGGCCGAGGTGGGTGCATCATCTGAGGTCAGGATTTTAAGACCAGCCTGGCCAACATGGTGAAACCTTGTCTCTACTAAAAATACAAATATTAGCTGGACCTGGGGGCAGGCACTTGTAATCCCAGCTACTCATGAGGCTGAGGCAGGGGGAATTGCTTAAACCCAGGAGGCAGAGGTTGCAGTGAGCTGAGATCATGCCATTGCACTCCAGCCTGGGCGACAAGAGTGAAATTCCATCTCAAGAAAATAAATAAATGAAATAAAAAATAAAAATGGGAAACTAGTTACAAAGATATTGGAAAAGCTAAAAGGACAGCCTGGGCACAATGGAGCAATCCAGTAGCCAGAAGTTTCCCACGGGGAGCCCCAGGGCTGGAAAGACAAATGGAGGAGGCGGGGTTGCTAAAGCCTAGGGGCCAGGGCACCCAGCTGGAGCCAGGACACCCTGGCAGGGCGGCTGCTGCTACAGTGGAACCCTGGAGGGAGGAACCACCCCAGGGACACTGGAGACACAGTGCCTGCTGAAAATGCCGCCAGAAACAGAGAAGCAATGTCTTGGCTTCTTCCCTCCCTCTGCTCCTACTGGCCACACCTAATCAGAAGCAGTGAGCAGGGGAGCCTGAAAAATGAGTTTGTGTCCACAGCCTCACCCCAACGCCATACAAAGCAATGGAGAGAATGTTGGGGGGTGGATCTGAGGGCCCACAGGGCAGTGATGAGCACTCTGAGCATTGCTTCTTTAGTTTAGCTTTTTAAATGAATATGATCTTTCCTGGACCAAAATATTCTTTAAGTCAGGAGGAAAGGCATGAGTGTAGACTACAGCGAGAGAAGACACACTATTGGGGAGAATGCAAATGAGGACAACCCATTTTCATAAGAATCTGTCAGTAGCTCTCTAAGTTTAAAATCACAATCCAGGCCGGGAGTGGTGGCTCATGCCTATAATCTCAGCATGTTGGGAAGCTGAGGCAGGTGGATTGCTCTGAGCCCAGGAGTTTGAGACCAGCCTGGGAAACATGGTGAAGCCTCATCTGAACAAAAAGTACAAAAAATTAGCTGGGCATGATGGCACACACCTATAGTCCCATCTACTCGGGAGGGCGAGGCAGGAGGATTGCTTGAACCCAGGAGTTAGAAGCTGCAGTGAGCTAACATTGTGCTGCAAGTGCATTCCAGCCTGGATGGCAGCACTAAACCCTGTCTCAATAAATAAATAAATAAATTTAATTAATTATTCGTTACTTAATTAAGTTTTAAGAATAAAATCACAATCCCTTCCAGAGATTTATGCTATGCACATCACAAAGATGTGTGTGTGAAGATGTTCATGATGACATTGCTTTTCTTCTTCTTTTTTAACTTTTATTTTATTATTTACAGTACTAAAGACTGGAAGCAATGAGTGTACTCACTCATAGGAGCTGACTAAAAAACATGAATGTGTTAGCTGTGATGATTTCTAAGAGAAATCTAAGCTAAATAAATGAAGGTTAAAAAAAACAGTGTGAGTTTCGTGTGTCCACATGTTTATAAATTAATGCATATGTACAATCTTTCTCAAATGGCATACCATTGCTTTTCAGATCCCTGGCAACAGGAGTCGCCTTTGCGGGGAGACTGGGATAAGAGAATGAACTATGTGCCCTCACTACTTTGAAAATCTGTTCACTCCCCTTTGTATTAGGCTAATCATATGAAATCACGAATATTTTATGATTTTTGACTCATCAAACAACAATTTCATATGGTTCAAACTCTTATTCCTTTGTTAATTAAAAAGAAGCTGATTTTCAGAAGACCATCGGGAAGAGCTGCAATTAGCAGCGCATTTGGAGTTGGCTTTTCTAATAAGGCAAGAATATGACACAGTAATATATGATTCCACGTTCCCCCAGAATTACATTAGAAAAAATAGGATGAAGTCCCATGAGCTCAAATATTCCAGAAGAATTACCATCCCAGGATGTCATCCTGCTTCTCAACACAATATTGGCATTCAAAGTAGCTCAAAACAAAGGCATGCTAGGAAGGCAGATGGTGGGCGCGGTGGATTTCACGAGCTCCAAGTACTGCCGAGGGCCCAGAACAAACCCAATCTAGGAGGCAAGCCATCCCTCTGGAACTCTGAGGGTATTGGGCACGTATCTGTTCACAGAGCCGAAGTGCAATTTTGTTCACTGTGAGAGATAAAAAGAAATGTAATCAATCTTGACAGACACTGACGAAAAACTCCCCACGGCCCTTCATGTTCCAGAGGCTAGCAGGGACTTCTGGGGACTCTGAAGAGTGACTAGACTTGTTCGGATTCAGCAGGAGCATCTCACAGTGCAGACAGGGGCTACAGCTGCAACAGCAAAGCAGTGGAGGAGGCAAAGTAATACCAGCAAGAGACAGAGCCTGGGAAGCACTGAGAGCCGCACAGGCTTCATGTCACCACATCCCCCTCAGGAAAGGGTGGCACCTTGCGCCCATTTTACAGGTGAGAAGTAGGAGGACAATGAGAAGGTTGAATAACCTGGCTAAGGGCATACAAAACCTAGGCCTGCCTTAGTCTGAAGCTTATTCTCCTGATGGTCACCCCGGGTGGGACAGATGCTAAAGACGACAGCCAGTGACAGATGATGGCAGCTAGGAGGGCTGGAGAGGTGGATGCTAGGCAGGTGTAGCTCGCCAGGTACAGGCTGCTTAGGGACAAGATGGGGCAGTGGACATTGCATCTTATATCTGCTTTCAACTCTTTAGTGGCTTTTCATCACCTTTGAAATTCACATTCAGATCAGAGTACAGGAGGTGCTTTGGGTCCCACTTGCCTGGGCAGTCTGCCTCTGCCCCCCACCTTCATGCCCCTGCTAGACACCATTGCCCAGCAGAGCTCCAGCTCCTTCTCTTTCCACAGTTCACTATGCTCTCTCATGACCCCTACCTCTCCCCATTGTGTATGCTCATTTCCTGAAAGGAGTGCCTTTCCTCGCCATGGGAGTCCATTTCTAAGACTCCATCCACCTCCATCCCTCCCTTCTCACCCCTAGTTGAGCAGGGACTTCTATATCTCCTCTGCTTCCCTCTAGCATAACATTCTTCCTTCTTCTCTTCCTCTGTTCTCCCTTTCTCTTTACTTCCTCTTTCACTTCTTCTTTCCATCGTTTGTTCCTTCTTTCAACCTTTCAACACCTTTTCATTGAGCCCCTACTATATGCCAAGTTTTAGACTGCATTTGGAGGAGGATGAAAGTTGGGTAAGAAAAGGTCCTTTCTTCCTAGAGATCATTATCAAGAGCATGAAACAGACAGAGACCGAAAGCCCACAGTTGCCAAATATTTCTATATGTCCAGCGCTGTGTTACACATTCAGCGCACATGGCTTCATTTATGAAGTACCATGATCCTATGAGGTAGCGACTTTTGTTCTCAGAGGGGAAAACTGAGGCAGTATTAGAGTTCTAACATGGGCAATTTATCATTAAGTTTTGCGCTTCTAAATGCTAAGAGAAAGGAAGGGTTTAATGGTAATGTGTCAAGTGCAATGAAAGTGGACAGAGACGTACACCTAGCCTGGGACAGATAGAAACCTTCTAAGAGGTAATGCTTCAGAGGGGCATTGGACCAGGTAAGGAGGAATGGGAAGGGTCCTGTAGGCAGAGGGCTAGCCTGAGCAAAGGCTTAGAGGTGAGGAAAAGCAAGCCTCCTGCAGAGAAACCCAAGCAGAAGCAGGGGAGTGCTGCTGGGATGCAACACCTAAGGACATAATTGGGAAGCACAAAGAAGAGAGTTTTAGCAGGAAGCAAACACAACACACAGGGTGGCTGAGGAGTGTTAATTGGGGACCTATTAGTGAGGATACAGGCAGAGTTAAGGGAAACCTGTAAGGTCTTTTGGGCTGACTGATGGCACCATGGACCTTATGGTGACCCCTGTGACCCTCATGTGCACCTCTGGAGGGCCTTCTAGAATTAGAAAACCTGAAGTAACCGGAAGACCACGAAAAGTGGAACAATCAACCCCTGTGGTGACTGACTAACTTGAGACATTCTTCAATTGTTTCTTATTCCTGCCTCAATTGATATGGCCATTGGTCTTTGTAACCGACCTTGGTCAACCTTGTGACTCCAGACCCTACGACTCCCTCCCAGCTTGCAAACCTACGACCCCCTCCCAGCTTGCAAAAAACCACCCTAAACTGTAACTTTCCACAGCCTACTCCAAACTTATAAAACCTTCTCCTATCCCACCACCCTCCACTGACTCTCTTTTTGGACTCAGCCTGCCCGCACCCAGGTGAATAAAGAGCCATGTTTCTCACACACAGCCTGTTTGGGGGGTTTCTTCATTCAGAGCATGTGTTTTAACGACACCAACAATGGGTTATGAGACACCTGGGCTAGCAGCTACAAGCCCAGGAGCCATCACCTCCCCTAGATCAAAAGAGGCAAAGAGGAAGACCAGAACTCAAAAGAGAATGGTGGCTGTGCCTTTAATACTAGGGACCCCCTCCTGCTACCACCACCACACACCACTGGAGGTGGAGCTTCTGGTAGAGGAACATAGGCTGGGTTGACATGGAGGCAAGATAATAAATATCCCAGCTATGTTTTCCTCCTGCCTTCTGATATCCTTCTCATGCCTCCCAATGGCCAAATGCATCCAGAAGGCAGAGGGCTCAGCTGAGGCAGTCGGTGGAGGTCAGCCCTCCAGGTCAGAGAGTTAGAGAACGGTGGTGAGTGAGTCCAGAAAGACAGGTGGAGAATACCCAGCACTTCTGGTTAAGGAGTTGACACTTTATTGCATCAGTGTCAGGGTTCCATTGAGGGGTTTTAGGTATGGAGGCAACATGGTCAGATACAGATTTTAATAAAGACCTCTCTGGCAGCAATTCAGTAGACAGAGCTATGGGCCAGAAACGATGAGCCCAGGAGACCAACAGGGCCAGAAAAATAAGGGCCAAGGTGGGAGATGGTGAGGAGCTGAATGGGGCATGAGGTGGAAGGAGATAGAACTTACCCAGGGAGAGATGACAAGGAGCTGAAAAGGAAGTAACAGAAAGGACACAATGAGTTTCAACTTTGATTTTTTAAAAAATTTGAGAGGCCTTAGTGAAACAACAGCCAGGCTTCGTATTTGTGTAATCAACTGAATTTTAGTGTCAATAACTGAGATTAAAAATAAAAATGCAGGGCTGAACGTGAAGGCTTACACCTGTAATCCAAGCACTTTGGGAGGCCAAGTCAGGCAGATCTCTTCAGCTCACAAGTTTGAGACCAGCCTGGGCAAGATGGCAAAACCCTGTCTCTACAAAAAATACAAAAAATTTAGCCAGGGCTGGTGCCATGTGCCAGTAGTCTCAGCTGTGTGAGTGCAAAGCTGAGGTGGAAGGATGGCTTGAGCCTGGGAGGCAGAGGTTTCAATGAGTCTAGATCGTACCACTGCATTCCAGCCTGTGCAACAGAGCCAGAGCTTGTCTCAAAAGAAATAAATAAAAATAAAAAAATTAAAATACAAAAGGAGCAAAAACAATCTTTAGAGAATGGTGACTGATGAGTTTTGTTTGGGATAAGTTGAGTTTGTAGGATATCCAAGTGTAAATGTCTAACAGACATTCAATTTGAGTCCGAATATTGAGTGGTCTCTGTCTGGAGATTTGGAAATTAAAACCACCAGTAGGCTGGGTGAGGTGCCTCACTCCTGTAATCCCAGCACTTTTGGAGGCTGAGGCAGGCAGATCATCTGAGGTCAGGAGTTTGCGACTAGCCTGGCCAACATGATGAAACCTTATCTCTGCTAAAAATACAAACATTAGCTGGCCAAGGTGGCACATGCCTGTAATCCCAGCTAATCAGGAGGCTGAGGCAAGAGAATCATTTGAACCTAAGAGGCAGAGGTCGCAGTAAGCCAAGACTGTGCCATTGCATTCCAGCCTGGGTGACAAGAGTGAAACTCTGTCTCAAAAATAAATAGATGAAGCCACCAGAGGGTAAATTCTAGTTAAAACCCTGAAAGTAATGAGATGTCCTAGAGAGAAGGAGAATCTAGGAAAGTAGACAGGTTGTCTGGGAGCACCAGCACTGCGGAGTGAAAGGAAGAAGAAATCTACAAAGCTATCGACAAGGAATGAAAGACCAGAGAAGACAAGAAAGAAGCTTCCTGGGAGCAGAGGCTGGAGTGATCAATAGCCTTAAATATGGTGGTAAATAAGAGACAAAGAACATCTTCTGCTTAGAACTGTGAAAGGAAAATATCTTGGGCCCCCAAAATCGCTAAGCTAAAGGGAAAGTTGAAGCCAGAAACTGCTCAGGTTAAACCAGCCTCCCATTCTATTCAAACTCACCCTCTGCTCACTGAGATAGATGCATATTCTGATGGCCTCCTTTGGAAAGGCTTATCAGAAACTCAAGAGAATGCAGCCATTCGTCTCTCACATACCTGTGACCTGGAAACCCCCTCCTTGCCTCGAGTTGTCCTCAATTTTCTGGACAGAATCAATGTACATCTTACATATACTGAAAAGGAAGTAACAGAAAGGACACAAATGAGATTAAACTTTGATTTTCTTTTTTTAATTGAGGGTCCTCCCACCTCCTCACCCGGGCTAGCAACTACAAGATTTATGTCTCAAATCTCCCTAAATGTATAAAACCAAGCTGTGCCCCAATCACCTTGGGCACATGTTATCAGGACTCCCTGAGGCTGTGTCATGGGTGTGCAACCTCGACTTTGGCAAAATTAACTGAGACCTGTCTCAAATTTTCGAGGTTCACAGGACTTCGGAGGTTGTAGGTGACTTTGGAAAGAGCAGTTATGACTCTCTTGGTGGATGGATTACTGGGGGTTGAGGTGTGAAGCGAAGGTAAAGTAGGCATTGAAGATATAGATTACTGTTTAGAAGTCTGGATAAGGATGGAGAAGGGTAGGATGATGTTTCTCCTAGGTATCATCCTAGGCTAGTGCATGAGTTTTACGGTTTTAGGGGAACATATAGAAGGAGAAATGGATGATGCTGCAGAAGAGGGAATATCGTTCATGAAGCCCAGACCTGGAGGGGCCAAGAGGGCACGGATCCTGGCACTCTCTGTGCTCTTATTGCCCGATCACTTGTCCAACCCCCACATCCCTCTACCAGTCAGGGAGCTCCGTATCTGCTGTGCTGAGAGTGTTGACTGGCACATGGCCATGCTAAATCCTTACTTGCTGAGTGAATGAATAAGTGATGGTAGAGTGGATAGTCAGGGATATAAGTCCAGACAGAAGGAATGCACCTTTGGCAAAGCTTCTGTAACTTGCACCAGATGGCCAAGGTCTAAAACATGACATTCTCCAGCCAGATAATTGTCTATAGTAAGGAAATAATCAAGATTTACCTTACAGATACATACCCAGCAAGCAAAACCTCCAAACAGAGCAGGCTAAAAGAAGGCCTCTATAGTGAGAGTTGCTGGATTAAAATCAGTGAAGCTGGAAACTGACAAGCTTCATGTTTAAATTAATTGGGCACTTGAATAGGACTGATTTTTATTAGTTCATTTAATTTGGCTTAAGATCTTGCTTTTTATCTGGGGCAGAGATGGAGTTAGATTCTGTCTTGAGACTTTTTCAAGTTTTCAGTTTACTTTTTTTCCCAGAGTGACTAAGGGTTTAGCCACTTGCAAAGAAAGCAGAGGAAGGGAATTTTGCTTTACTTGATCAAGGTCTCTGAGGGCTGGAGTCTCCATTACTCATCCCTCCTATCTGGCAGCAAGAATACTTGGGTCCGCAGTAGGCTGGATCGACAGGGAAGTCAGTGCATGGCATTGTGAGAAGCTGCTGGAAAGCAAAACAGGGAAAATAGTAACTTAGGGAAGGGAGTGAGGGCAAATGAGGAAAGCAAAGAATTGGTATTTCTTTTACCAACCAAGTTACCAGTAACTTGAAAGAGCAAAATGCACTCACACCTTGGATCCCAGCCCCACGCTTCCCTTAAATTTGGGCAAATCTCCATGAACCTTATTTGTGAAATGGGAACATGTTACCACTGTAAGGTTTCCAATGGAAGGTCCCAGGTGGTGAATCTGTATGGGTCTGTGCAACTTCAATTCTTGCCTCTTCTGGAGAAAGAATTCGACAGAGTGGCATTACGCAGAAAAAGAGGCAAAGGCAAGTTTCAGAGCGGGAGTAAGTTTATTTAATGCTTTAGAACAGGAAACGAAGGAAAGTACACTTGGAAGAGACCCAAGTGGGCCCTGAGGTCAAGTGCAATGTTTAACCTTGATCCTAGGACTTTATAGGCTGGAGTGCAGTGGTACTATCTCAGCTCACTGCAACCTCCGCCTCCCTGTTTCAAGCGATTCTTCTGCCTCAGCCTCCCCCTGGCACCCACATTCAATTAACATTTTGGTGCGAAAGATGTGGACTATCAGGAAGTGATCTCTCTCTGGTGTTGGCTGCCAATTTATCACTTTTAGAGAGGAAATGTGATAATTGCTAAGCGGTCACCCAAAATTCTTAGTAGGTGATGGGAGAGCCCTCTCCTGCCCCTCTTATACCTGTCTAACTACCTGTAACAAAATCATTTAATTAAAACTTAATTATCCTCTATAATGTGCCACATACTGTTCCAGGCACTTGAAGAATATCAGTGAAAAGTAATTCCCCTTCTTCAGGATGTGTTGGGGAATAAATGAGATCGTGCATGTAGAATTACCTGATGATGATCTGTAAAAGGTGCTGAATTGGAGGTAACTGCCATGGTGATGGTGGTTCTCATACGTAGAAAAGAATGATACAAGGGTGGTAGTATACTGATGGTTGATAGTCTCACTTGTCATCAGGGCTGTGAGCTCTCTGAAGCAAGCTGGGGACCATTGTGGAGTTCTGTTAAGTAAGCAACCACCAGGAAGGGGCCCCAGGTAGGGCAGAGACCCAGGTGGGGAAGAACAATGAACAATTGTTCTTTAGGAGATGGCTAATCGCAAAAACCCCACCAAAATAGCTCCCTCCAGCCCCTGCTTCTTTACAGAAAGCCCCTTCTCTGCTGTTGCTGCCTGTTGCAACCTTGCAACATATTTTTATACTTTCTCTAATAAATCTGCCTTTCTTTACCTATGACTGTTTTAGTAAATGTACCACCTGTGAAGTCCACCCTGACCCCCACGATAGCCATGTCTGCCTTATGAATCTCTCTGAATTCCTGGCACAGCACATGGTGTATAAATATATGTGGTCATCAGTAAGAAATCATTCTCAACCAATTATTGCCAATTAAGTTATGTATCCCTTTAAAGTTCATATTCTTCAGCTATAAACATGCAGCGTCCTAGGGCCTTTCTGACAACTAGAGAAGTTCCAAGGTGCTGGGTGCAATATCTGGCCCACAGAGGAGATTGGAAAACCTAACCAGTTTCCTACTGGTCACCTCCTATTGCAGATTCGGCCCAGTTTCATTTACTCACCTAGTATTCACAAGAGAGTGTCTCCAGAGCTCCTCCAGTGGTCCCCAGTGTGTACAGAAGAGGGGTTAGGCACATTGATCAGAAGGGGCAAGTGCCCAGAGCCACTCATCCAAGGAGAGACCAAGCTGGGGCTGGGCCAAGCTGAGGGAGGGATGTAGGAGGCTGGTCAATGCCCTCAAGGAATATCTAGTGTAATGTAGGAGATAAGCCACTCACGGCTGAAACATTTAAATCCACTGTGGCTGATTAAGCGTCAAGTACTGGCAGGGTACCAAGTGGGGAAAGAAGAACAAGAATGAGGGAGGAGCCTGCATGGAAGAGCTGAAATCTCAGCTGGGTTTTGAGTGCTGTAAGAGGAGGAGACAGGGAGGGATTTATAGTCAGAGAAAACAGCATGAGCAAGGGCTTAGAGGTGACAGTGGGTGTGGCCAATCCAGGGGACAAAGAGGAGAGCCGGACTGTGGGAAAGAACCAAGGTTACCTGACCAAGTCCCTGTTGCATGCCTGTCAGGGCTTTCTATCTTAGTTTCTTTCACCCCTCCCACAAACTTGTGAGACAGATTTTGTCATTGTTGCCATCTTAAAGACTGGAAAACTAGGACTCCTTGGGGGTATGACAAAGCTGGAATTTGATCCAGATCTAACAACAAAACCCTTGTGCTTTTCACTCTGCCTAGGTGTCTTCCTGCACAGTGCAATAGGGGCTTCATCGGTGACAAGATCTCCCACTGGAACTTGGGAGATCCCGGTTCTACCTCTGGATAGCTGAGAATCTGGGCGAGTGATTTAGTCACTCTCACCCTCCTTCCCTCCTCTACAATACGGAACAGTAATAATTCCTATTAAATAAGAGGAACAGCAGCTCCTGCTACAGTTGACCCTTGAATAATGGAGGGGTTAGGGGAGCAAACCCCAGTGCACTCAGACTTTGACTCTCCTAAAACTTAATAACCTACTCTTAACCAGAAGCTTTACCAATAACCTAAACGGTCAATTAACACGTTTTGTATGTCATATGTATGCTACACTGTATTCTTACAATAAAGTTAGCAAGAGAAAAGAAAATGTTATAAGAAAACCATAAGGAAGAGAAAATACATTTGCAGTACTCTACTGTATTTTTTGATTCTGTAAGCTTACAAGATGAACAATCAATCTAAAATGGCAGCAACTACAGCTGCAGACCTCAGCTGATGGTCCATATCTAGCAATTCAAGATCTTGTATGTCAACTTGTGACTTTGCTTTTTGGGAGTACTTCCAGTGTCACTATAAGGCACTGCCTTTGTATGGGTGCCATGGTGTTATTCAAGATTTAGGGTATTGCACTTAACACAATGAAAAATTCTTGAGAACCACATGAGAAGACTATTTACTGCAATAAGCAAATTGCTAGAGGGATGAACTCACGTGGAGCTGATCAGTGTCACAAGGCATTTTAAGTAGATACTCACAACCCTTGATCTCACTGTAATAGCAGCTTTCAGTGACTAAAAATTATTACAGTAATACATATAGTATGTGCTGCAGCTAACTTTATGTAGTTATGATCTAATACTGAATCTTTATATTTCTCTACATTTCTCTTGACTGAATGGCACCATGTACGGTCTGTAAGTGTGTGTGTAAATTTTGATAAATTTTAATTTTTATAATAGGTTTGTGTACATGTGGTAATAAATGATAAAATAGATTAATATCTACATATATTTTATGCATTCACAACATACTTAACTTTTTCTAAATTCTCCGTATTTTTAGGCTACATGGTTCATCTGCAAGTTTTTTCAAATTGTCACAAACCTCCAAAAAATTTTCTGATATACTTATTGAAAAGAAATCCACACATAAGTGGACCTGGATGGTTCAAAGCTGTGTAGTTTAAGGGCTAGCTGTATATGCCTGTCTCTGATAGGTCCTGTTTCAGATCAGCCTTGTCTCAGATTAGCCCTGTCTCAGATCAGCCCGGGAGAAAGGGGGTGTTCCTCTGTGGGTTCTCACACCAGGACCTGGGCAAATGGAATGCTGTGGTCACTTTACCTGTGGAAAAGAAGGAGCATGGCAAATCAGCATGGCTTCTGAAGCTTCCACCCAGTGACATGCTCATTTCCACCTCTTTGGCCAATACCAAGCCAGGGGCTACACTCAAGGGGGTCGACAAGTCCCAATTACTATAAATCTGGATGGGAGAAAACTGAAAATATTAATGATCATTTGTAATATTCTGAATGTTTTGCAAGAGTTTTTACATACCTGAGTTCTTTTCATCTTTAGAACTCCCTGTGAGTTTTCAGATCTCAGGATGAAGAAATCAGATGTGATTGTAAGCAAGGGGAGAGGAGATCCTTAAGGTTTCTGAGGAGGGAGGGATAGAAGCACTGAAGTTCAATAAGTCAATGAGAGCTATAATCAAAGTGGTGATGAAGATCAATGACAATGGTAAAAGAACGCAAAATACATTTGCAGTGGGAGAATCTGCAAACGTGGGAGCTCTAGGAAAGATAATGGAGTTGACGCAGGAGAATAAGGAATTAGGGGAACCAAGGGTTAAGGCATAAGCAAAAGAATAACAGGTGCAGCAAGTTCTAGGCAAAGCTGGGCAGCATACAGGCCCCATCCTCACTCCTGTGATAAGGAGACAGAAGCTTCCACTACAGCCTCTGACTGGTCTCAGGCCAAACCTTCATAGGGGTGTTACCAAATTTCTATAGCTTAATAAAAACCCTAAAGAACACTGTAATTATGGCTCTTGAGCCACTTGCTCGAGCCTCCTCCCACACCGTGGAGTATACTTTTGCTTCAATAAATCTGCGCTTTCATTGCTTCTTTCAGTGCTTCATTCTTTTGTTGGTTGGTTTGTGAGTTTTGTTCAATTCTTTGTTCAATGCACAGATAACCTGAATGACTCACAGTCAAGACTTTCCATCAGGTAACAGAATGATCCAGGTACAACCTGACTTAGGATGCTAGCAATGGAAAGAAATGGCACATTCTGTAGAGACAATTTTATGCAATAAACACTAATTTTGAGTACTCACTTTCTGCCAAGCACTGTGCACTCCAAGTACAGAGATAGATAAGAACAATTTTACTGCCGAGGTGCCTCCGGTTCTTGTGGATGAGACAAATGTGAACTCACTGTGTCTCACCTTCCATGGGCAGCCTCTGTTCCCATTCTGTACCCATCTCAGAGAAAGACCCAACATTGAGTTGCATCCCCAACAACATCCCATTAATGTGTGGTCTCTATTTTTCTGAAGATGTGGAGAGACTTAGGATGCTATGTGGCACACTCCACAACAAAATGCATTACCAATTCCTGTCCATTCACTGTGGATAGCTCAGAAAAACTCAGAAATGACTCAAACTAACCAACCCTACACCTGCTTACCCCGCCTTGACCATTTCTTCCTGCAAAAAAGAAAGGCGCCTGCCACAGTGTCTTCCTGCTCCCCCTGCCTCCTGGTGCTTCTCCAGGTGCCCAAGTGGTGTGGGACACCTCTCCTCTTG